AAAACACCAACACACATACTTGTACTTTGAACACCCTATACTCCCTTTATATTAAATAAATACATAAAAATAACACAAATTATTTACAAAAAAACAAAACAAAATCAAGTAAATACAACTCAATTCTAAAACAGAATTTCAAAGGGCATTCAAAGTTTGACTGAGTTAAAGTTACGTTTCTCCAGCACTTTTCGAAACCATCAGTAGCAACAAAGTCATTGAACCATGAAGTGTAGGTCACACTCAGCACTTATATGGCTATATTTTGTAACGCGTACATAAGGGTGGAGGCTAGCCTTATTTTTACTCAGTGTTATCAATTTCACTATGTCACATTCCATGTTTCGTATTTGTGTCTAGTGATGTGTGAAGAATAAATCGTATCGACATCTAAAGGTTGGAGTTTTTATCTCGGCTTTCCCCACAACATGTAGAACCAGGGTCCGACATTACAGACATGGTTAAAGGGAAATAACTCGTATTTATCGTTTAGATTAATTTTCAATTTGATTAAAAGTAAACCAAATACAAGGTAATAGCCTTAAACGTCTCATATAAAAGATATATAACTTTTCTGAGTTTTGAATAATTATCTTCTGCAGGTTTTAAGTTTCTTTAATTGAAAATTTTGTCTGATTTATCAACGTTAATTCTGTCATTTTTTAGCGACATGTTTGATGTACTATACAAAAGTAAGTAAGTTAAATGTCTTTCACGTAACATAAGGATACACTAAGGATTATAAGAATAATGAAATTTAGAAAGAAAAAAAAAATCTCGCCTGGTCTCCCATACAATGGAAATATTTTATGTTCAGTGACAAATCTGGTCTGCCATACTATAATACACGAAACAACATGATATTATGTTTCAGACAATTTCTAATTAAATGTTCCACGATTAATAATGGTAACTTTGACGACTTATATATTTCATTTCGCTTTATCACCCGCGAAAAGGCGCCAAATCGAAATATCGAAAAAACGACCACTCGCCAAAGCATAAAGACGAAAAAAGCACCATAGTTATACGCTCTGTTTGGCGGGTTTCCGTTCATTCGGTTCTGTAGGGGTGTTTTTTTTTTGTTTTTTTTTTTGTCATCTAGCTTTGGCGCTTTGACATTATTTCGTTATTGCGCTTTAGTGGGGTTTTGTCTTTTCGTTATTTCGTTTTGTCGCTTGGCGTCTTTTTGCAGGCGACAAAGCGAAAAAACGAAAAGTCATATATAAGCTACCAAAGGTAACAGACATGTTTTCTCATAACTCCTCCTCTGGTTTAGAGAACAATGGTATCTTACATTTTTCCCTCATACAAGACTCACGCCAGTAAATCATTTACTATCTGTTGTTACTTAACTTTTGAACTAAAAGCTTGCATTTTTGAAGTCTAACACCAATGACAACTGTCTTACTTCATAGATACATTCATGAAAAAGCTGCAAAAGATTTTTTGACAGGTTTAGTGACATAGAAGAGAATCAGAGCCTTCAAATGTTGACAACCGGAAGTTAACAAGCCAAACCGGTGAAGCGGGACGGGAACCCCGCCCTACCCCGCCCTACTTTTTATCGCTATCGCTTTATAAATCCGCTATCGGATATTGATACCTTTTAAAACTATACATTTTTCCAAAGTAAAATACACCTGCAGATTTCAATCAGTCCATTATCTGTCAACAATCACACATGTATAGTACTCGGTGGCACACCAACATACCCTGTCTCCAGCACACATACACAGATAGGACGTTAAACTCCATTCCTCGTTTTCCAAAGAGGAGGCAATCAACTGGAACCTAAACTAAAACGAATCAATTTATTATTAAGAAAAACAAATAAATTGTAATATATACTTTTCAATCCTTAATATTGCGTTGAATTTTCCGTAACGGATCGCAAGCTTAGGCTAGTAATAGAATAGTAGAAAAATTAAACAGACTTTCGGTGAAAAAACCTTCTTAAATAAATGTAAAATTTAGTATTTCATAGTTTTAAGTTAAAACAGTTCAGTCGTATCTGTGTCTCAACTTTTTAGTAATATCTCATTTCTTGAAAATAGTTCATCCGTATGTACCCTGTAATCTATAGGCGTTCAGGCCCCGGAATCATGAAACAGCCTTACATAAGATGGTAAGTCTAAGACGAAATCTGGAAGTTTGAAGTTTTGACTTAGATTAGATCGCAATTTGAAGTGGTCATGAAACATGCTAAGCAAAATCATAGCTGAGACTGAATTAAAGTCAAAACTATTAATTGCCAAGAGAACGCGCGCGCCAATTCGCGTATTTACAGTATATATAGGAACTCTTCAACGCAGGTGAGCTTATGCCATACTGAAGCGTCCGTCGTCCGTCCGTCAACTTTTCCTTTAAAGCGCTGAACGGCCAAGTAGATTTTGACTGAATTTGGTCTGGAGCATCCTTAGGCCAAGGGGACTCAATTTTGTATAAACGGTGGGTTTGGCCCCCTGGGGGAAGAAAGGCGGGCCCAATAAGGGATATAGAGGAGAAGAGAAAAATGGTGGGTCTGACCTTGGGGCAGAGGGATGGGGCCCAATAGGGGAAAAATGGCAAATTCTTCAAAATCTTCATTTATCTGTAGAAATGACAGGGTTTTGTCTAATTGCATACAAATATGTCCCCTGACAAACCATGTAATACATGTACACTACCAACAACATCTAGCTATTCCAGCTTCAATTTTGCTAACATTTCCATATGAGCGATACAGACCCTCTGGGCCTCTTGTTCATTATTGTTGTTTCATCATTTACTATTGAGTCGTATTTACACATAAACAATTGCACAACAAGGACATACGGAAAAGTGTGTAGATAAAATAGCTCCTAATCTGTAAAATTATTGAACTCTTAAAAGATAAGTCAAGTAACACCTTTGCAATAAACAAGAATTCCAACAATTTGAACGTATCATGCCTTTTTCTTCCTCAATTTTTGCTCTTTTTCTTTTATACCTTCTTTCTATTCTATCACATACAATAAATTCACGCTTTCTAAAAACATGTTAGTATGTCAAGCATCAAAAAGTGAATGTTAAGTGTGTACGTGTGATGTTTGTGTGTGTGTGTGTGTGTGTGTGTGTGTGTGTGTGTGTG